TTTTTCTCTACTGTGTGCAATGACAGTTCAAGCAGTTATGGCAGCTGTGAGAGGTAGAGATCTTTAAGCACTGGGGTGAATACATTCAGATTCGTCTATGTTTGCAATAGCAGTTAAATTACACTCTTTGGCATGGACAAAAAAAAAACTAAAGAGAAAACATGGCTATGCTAATACTCTTCCTAACAACAAGATGGAAAGACATTCATAAAGTGCCTGCACTGAAATAAGCAGTACTTGCAATATCCTAAGTAAATTCTGTTCTAACCTCCTGTTTGTTCAGAAACAAAAATAGTTTTTCTGAGAGAGTGCAGTTCCCTTCAACATCAGGAGAGCATCAAAGTCCTGTTTTCTATGCAGTTCTTAACTTCATAAATCACAGAGTTGAATTTTGTTATTTAAAAAATCCATTAAAAAACATTTAGGTGCAGATATGTGAGTACTAAAATACAACTCAGGATAGTTTTCCTCCTTCTTATGGAGGACAAAAATAGAAACATGTATTTCAAGGCACTAGTGCCATGAATAGAAATAGTTTGAAAACAACTTCTGTGCTTATGAAGTTACATTAGCATTTTGTCACTGCAGGTAAAGCCTTCCTCTTTTCCCAGATTGCCTAACCAGAAGGAAAGGATATTTGTGGTCTCCAAAGCAAACATTCCAAGAGATAAAAATGGGCTCTTTCCATCAGCAAAGGAAATGGTCTGAGGCACAGACTTAGGATCTGGACACAGCCAGGATGCTCATTCACTCAAAGATACAGAAAAAAACTCAAAAGTTTTGTCATAGTCCAGATTGGTTTTTCACAAAATGCTGTCAGTCTTTCCAGTAAAAATTACTGTCTGGATTTTTGCTAAAGTAATAATTTAAATGGTAAAAGTGATTTTACATGCAATATGTTTGAGAAGGCTTTGAAAAAGGGAGATGACAAAACCCACACACACCCAATGCCAGGTTTGTGTGCAACATGACTGTAAAGTGTGAGCTCCTCTTCCTTGCAACTCTGCTTCCATCCTGAACACCACACAGGTTAAATCAGCAGTGTTCCATACTGGGGAGTGAAGGCCTTGAAGGGAAATCTGACTCTGTTCCTCACTGGACTAATTTATTCTAGCAGCAGGATGTTACTCAGATAAAGGAGAGGAATTAAAACACCTGCAAACCTGCATTAGAAACTCATCTCAGCCTTTGGCAGGTTATGCATTGGCCAGTGCTTTCCTACTCTGCCCACATCAATTCCTCCTCTGGGTATCATAATAACAATTGTCATTGCACGAGTCCCATTGCTGAGTAAAAGGAAGTGCAGAAATTTAAGGCATTCTAACAACTACTCCAGCCAGAGCTGCTTTGAGAAGAGCCTAAATCCACATCACAGAAGAGCAGTGGAACTGGCATTTATCTGTGTACATTGTACATACACAGAGAATGCTTTCATGACAAGGTCTGTACACTCAATCATCCATCCCATCACTGGTTTTTATAACACCTCCTTTTTTAAGGGGCCATAGAATCGTTGCTATAGTACAAATGTGTCCTTCAGTTTTTACAGTAAATCATCATGCTCTTATTTTTATGATTCCCACTGAAATTTCCCAGCTGAAAGATGCCTCATGAGTTAGTGGTATAAGATGTTTTGAGCATAAATGCACTCATGAGGAAGTTCTGTTCCAAAAGATGGCTCCAGTTTTTTCTCCATTATAAAAAAAATAATAATAAACAGCATTGATCTAAAAGCTCAGATGACACTTGTTAGCTCAGATTCTCCTAGCCCAATGAGGACTGCTGGCAGAGAGTTGGTGGGGAATTAAACCACAGATGGTAGCCAGAGAATATATTTGGTATGACAGAATAATAGTGTGGCAACAGCCCAGTGCCTTGGAAAGGCCACAAAGCTTTTCCCCCTTGCACTATGTGACAATAAATAAATAAATACAGTATAAGTACCATACAGTGTTCCAGTTCTTTGAATACAACTCTTCCTAGAGTGTTCCCTGCCTTTAGACATGGCAAATTAAAGGTATTGAAATGTCACAGAAATGCAAAATTTGATTCTGCCCCACGATGTGCTGGTGGGCAATGGGTGACTAAAATCAGGCATCAGAAATGTACAGAAGAGAGAAGTGCATGAGAGAGAGCACAGGTATGATGTATGTGTGCACAGGTATGATGTATGTGTGCATAAATTATACCACAGGTAGGCATGTGTGTGTGCATGAATTACACCACAATTCTTACCCATTTCCAGCTTGGCATCACCAGCTTGGCCTGAGTGCCTAAGCTTTAGGAGAAGAGGTTACAGAAAACTTAGTGCAAATAAAAAACACCAAGTGTGTCCAAAAACTGGGAGTTGCAGGATACCCTTCCTCCCTTTGGGTCAGCCAGGAAGCTTCTCACTACATGCTCTGCCTTCTGACTCACACAGGGGCTTCCATCAAAAACAGCTCTGCTTTTAAGCATCACTGATGCTTGCCAGGGAGTACCTGCCTCACCTCACCTGGCCAAGGTGGGGAAGCTGTGAAAAACAGACTGGCATGGGAAAGCTGTGAAAAACAGCCCCATTCACATGGGACTCATAGGAGAGCTTCAGCCTCTTTCCATTTTGCATGGCAACTCCAAACCCAGGACCAGTGTTTGCTGCTTCTCATGGAAATAGAAAGGAGGAAAAAGACTTTGAGACAGGAGAGTTAGAAGAGACCATGAGCTCCAGACAGCCTCACCCACAAGCAGCATCCTCTCTTTCAGAGCCAGAGACAAGGCTTGGGCCCTGGTACCTCAGAGCAAGAACCACAAGAGGACACTTGTTATCTTCTGCCTCGTGGTTCTTCAAACCCTCAGGCAACACCAGGAACAGCGGTCCCAACCCACACCTCACTTCAGCCTAAGCCTGATTTGGCATATACATAAAATATATTATACAAAGCAGCATCATGGTTCCACACAAGGAGTAAGGCATGCACTGAAGTAATTTGTGGGAAGAGACATCACTGCTGAGTGAAAGTGAGACTGCCTTTTACAGCTGGAGAAAATGGGGAAACTGGGGAAACAGGCTAACTTACAAGACCCAAGCTCTTCAGGATATGAAGAAGGTCATTCCCCGGCAAGGGACTCAAGTACTTGCAAGAGTATATCTCCTACTAGAGACAGAGTAATTTAAATTGAAAAAGGCCTCTAGGAACATCCACTCAAACCATTAACCTGGCACTGCAAAGGCCACCATTAAACCATGTCCCTCAGTGCCACACCCACTTTTCCTTTAAATACACCCAGGGATGCTGACTCCACCACTTCCCTGAGCAGCCTGTTCAAGTGCTTGAAAGCCCTTTCAGTGAAGAGACTTTTCTTAATATCCAAATTATTAGACCAAATGAATAAAAAAAAAGGCACTCTAACAGTCCTGATATCCGAATTTTAAATTGGCATTAATTAACTTGGTCTCTGATTCCCTCTCCAGGAGTCCTCCTCTGATGTCAACTCCCAACTTCAAAAAAAGCCACTGCTGCAAAGCTTTCAGAGGAATTGAATTCTCTTGTGGGCAGAAATCATGCTGAAGAACAAGGCCTCTCTACAGAGAGCTGTGGCCATAAGCAATGTTCAGCTGGGGCTGTAAGCAATGTTCACAGGGCTGGATTACTGCTTAGAGCCCTGGAGGGTTTTTTCTCTAAGCCTATGAGAATATTTTGGCAGTTAAATACAATGTCAGATTTTATGCCCTAAAATGCTTAATAATTGAGGGACTTGTCATGACATCAAATTCTGTTTCAATGAAATGCTTAAGCTGGTACTTAACTAAGCATCAGAGAGTCCCTAGAACACAACAGTAAATCTGCACAGTTGTGCTAACCCCAGGCTTGAGCTCTGATGTGGGAGAAGCCTGCTGTCCTCTCTCTCCTCATTCTGATTTACCAGGTCATATAATCATGAGTGGTTTGCACTTCTGTTACAATAAAATTAGTCTCAACTCAAACACAGGTATCACAGGCAGTGTCAGTGTACTCCCAAAAAAATCTTCAGTCCAAACTTAGTTGTTTGCTTAAGTTTTCTGCTGATTTGGGGTCTTCTGTGCAATGTGTACCTGGGGATAAATGCTTAATCCTAGCCCAGCTTTACTTCTCTGCCATGCAAATCCCACACTCCTCTGAGTGACTCCTCTTAATTATCAGAGCTACCTCTGATCTCAACAATCCACCTGATTTGTTGAAGCACTGGCCAAGCAAAACTGAAATCAACAACACAGTCACCAGTGAGCTTTGTGTAAACAGCAATTCTTCATCCTTTTCACAGCAAAATTTATCTGCCCTGGAACTCCTGCCCATGAGTGGGGAGAATGGACCCATTCAGCACTGAACAATCAATAAAATAACTCAGCTGTTTGAACTCATTGCTATGCTTATATATAGAAACCTACAATGCAAATGCTTACAGTAATTTTGTATATCCTATATGAAATAAATATCACAAATAAATTCTAATATTCAAAACAGAATAGTATACAATGTTAGGGATCAAGTTACATTTATAAATGCACAAGCATTAACACTATCTATTCGGCTTAATTTCTTAGTATGCAAGCTTCAGCAATTTCTAGCTACAGTTCACTTCAGGAGTCATAATAAATGCTGCTCATGCCAAAATCTAAGAAGAAACAAAACCACAACCAGAAAGAAATGTTCTCCGTCATCCTTCCATATTACACACAGTTTTTGACAGGTGCTATAATAATACACAGGTTTCATGGAATTCATTAACACTGTCCAATATTAAATATCAAGTCTGGAGCACAGGTCTCTATGTTTGAAATAAAATCAGAGCAGGAGCAACGTGTTTGTCAGCACTGCATCCATACACAGCAAAAGCAGAGACAGTGAGAGCCTGCACCCCAACCAGAGCTGCAGCTTCCCAGGATAAAAACACAACAAGGGGCAGCTCCACTGGCAAAAGGGAGGAGAGGGAGAGAGGAGAGACTGAATGCAGCTCCAGTTACATCTATTGTTGAAGAATAGTTTGAAGAAATAGCCTGGATGCTGTAGCCTGGTCTTGCCAGCTCAGTCCTCAGAAATGGCCCCTGTCCCAAAAGCCAGCCATGGCACGTGGGAGCTCTGCTGACAAGGGCAGGTTACAAATTTTGCCTGCACAGGACAGAAAGTTTGCTGTGCCACAGGCACATAGGGCAGTTCATTCTCTTTATCTTAGTATCAGTATTTCTGCCAACAATTTCTCATGGGGGAAGTGAGTAATTCACAATTACATTTCATTTCAGGAAAAGAAAAGATCTCACACACTCAATACCCTGACTCAGCTTCAGCTCACATTACTGAAAAATAAAATCTAGATCCTGCCCTGGAAATTTGCTTACACTTTAGATCATGCCACTTTTGTCATCTTGCAAAGAGGATCGTGAAGGGGACCTTCCTAGCAGCAGCTCCTTCTCATGGATCAGGCTGTCTAGCAGATCCTCCTGTCTGTAGTTGTGATAAACCTTCAGGAAAGCCAGGATGGTAATTGCCAGCCAGGTCAGCCAGGCAGCCCAGAGACCAAACTGGAGAAGGAAAGAAATCATAAAGAGGTCAGGAACAGTGTTGTGAAAACAAAGTCAGCTGTCCATGTGGTTATGCAAACCTCAGCTGGACCAAAACCCATGGAGTCATGCCAAATCCAGGGAGGTCCTGGGTTCTTCAGGTAAAGGAGTCACTTTTATGGCATATTTCATTCCTAAATGCAGTTATGCCTGAGCTGGGCATCTAGATACCAATATTGGCAAAAAAGACAAAAAGCTTGCTGACACCCAAGAGGCAGGGTTACCTTCAAGGAATCTTCCATGCCTCTTTCCATGTGGGACAACATAAGCTTTTGTAAGGGTGCAGCCCTGCAGGGATGTGCCTGTCATCCCTGCAAAATTACTATGTGCTCATGTCCCAGTGTTCACTGGCTGATCATTGACTTAGAGCTAGAATATTCAATAGAAAGGTCTGACAGCCTTAGAGGTCTAATTCTCATGGGTTCATCAGAAAACAGCCCTATCTGAATGAATAAATCTTTGCTTATTTTCAAGGGTCTGATATTTATATAGCTTAGGTGATCTCAGTCAAAGTCAAGGAAGGCAAAACTAGGAACCCCACAACGTGGTGCAGGTCAGAAATTATTTTGAACAGTAATGATGAGATCCAGGACACCAGATTGCTGCAACTTTTGCAGACCTGATCCTTTGGATGAACAATGAATTTTCTGTCATGATTAACAAGATCAGTGGCAGGGTGAAGCTTTGACATATCTGTATTCAAAACTGTCTGTTTTGAATTTAAAAGGCAAATGTGCCCATCACTATCATTCTGATTCAGCACTTACTGAAGTCAGTGGAAACATTCCCATTGATTTCTGAGAATGGTAGTTCAGCTCCAGTAATCCCAGGACAATAAGCAAATGGCAAATTAACTGGAATAGAACCATGACTTAGTCTGACCTACCTGTGCAATAGCAAATTGGTCATAGAAAGCAGAGTTTTCCAAGTTCAGCTCAAGATCTATATCCTGCAATTCTTCACAGCTACCCAGAAAGGCATTTGGAAGGGAAAAACAAAAGAAAAAAAATTAAAATATTCTAGGCAAACCAAATATAAAATGAAACAACATATTAAATGTATTTTGAGCAGTCACAATGGCACATCCTATCAGAGGATAATTAAGTTATTGCAATCATCAGGTTGCTTGCTGATCTTCTCTAAATTACTTTCTTTTACAAAAAAAAAATCATGTAAATGATAACACAAATCTTTCATAAGTGGAATTGTAATAGTTATTATGAACAGCATCCTTAAACCCCTCTTTCCCACTGCCCCCTCACCTCCCACAGATTTGCCCCTGGCATCTCCCCAGGTTGGTTGTTTCACCCCTCAATGAAACAAAGTGTATGATCCTCTGTTACCTTTTGACTTCATCAGGAAAAGCCTCAGAAGAAGGAATTGTGTTTTTGTTTCGGATGCTCCAGCAAGGAGACGATACTCTGATGGTAAGATAGGGGCTGCCTACAGATTTTACAAATAACTTGGACCATTACTGGTGTGAAAAATATCCCAGGATTTTGAGGTTGTCATTCTACCTCTTGGTTGATTTCTGCAGCCTCTTCTCTCTCCTTTTCAGTGCTGTCGGTCATCTTGGGTTCTTACCCGAATATTCGATTAGATGCTTTTTGTAACTGAATTTTTAACCGAATATTCGAGTAATTCGATTAATCGTTGCAGCCCTAAACAGAACATTCACTATGGCATTTTACAACATATGACAATGTGCAGCAACATAAATGTATGCTTTAAGTAGTACATTTATTCAATATCATATGACATAAAATGTCACAATTTCCTCTCTCTTCATCATTATTTGTTTGACAGGAGCAAATCTTCCTCGACTTATCATGTTCCCCATAAGGAGCATAAGCATCGTGGGATACAGGGGACCATTTTAGGAGCTGTACATTTTGTGACTGTAACAAAGCATCAGCCATCTGTACTTTACACTTACAAAGTGCTTTCCATCCTGTGGCTCTCAAGGCATCCAGAGCATCACTACAAGGCAAGGAACTCTACCCCAAATGTTTTGTCTGATGATGAGTTGTGGCACAGGCAGGATAAGTGTCTTGCCTGGTGTCACACAGTGGGCTGGGGGCAGAACCAAGACTGCAAACCAGAAGCCCTGGCCCCCAGCCCCCTGCCCTGCTCACAAGGCCACACTTCCCCCATTCTTAGAAAAACTCTAAATCTAGCATTCCTTTGGAAATAAAACAATATTTAACAAAATTGATTTGTTTTTCATGTGATCATGACCACAAAATATGATGGAAACACACTTTTCTTTGTGGCCTTCTAAATAAACAAACAAAAAGAAGTTTGATTTTCTATGTTTTGTTCCACATGAAAAAACTCTGGATTTTCATATTACAGATGCCTTCTCCCCCTTGCTCACCTTGCGTGTAATAACTACACTTTGTAACAGCACAGCTCAATTGTGCCTATATGAAAAAAATAAAAGGAATAAAATGTATTCTTCAATACTAACCTATTTGGCATGCTTCCTTTTTCAGTAATTGCATCACACCACATGTTAAATCCTACACTCACTATAGTGCTGGCAATAAATGTGATGAACACCACAAAGGCGCTGATCAGCAGATTCAGGAAGGCGTAAAAGAAAGAGCTGTAATAAAAGGGAAGAAAAATGTAACTCATAAACAGCTGAAACACAACATCAGCAGTCTCTGTAAGCAGCACAGAGTGGGCACAAAGATATCAGTTTCCATTTAAAACACATCTTTAATTAAGAACACCTAATACATTGAAACACTATGGGCTTGATTTTGAGTCACACTACCTTCGCTTGCAAATGCTTTTGATTTTGATTTCTTTTTTAACCATAAGATGTGGCTTTATATAATGAGTGGTGATTGTTCATACACAATGTGGCTTTCATTAGCTGTAATGATGAAAATCACCATTGTTAAAATAAATGTCATTAGCTCAAATTATGTAGTAACTGCAGCTAAAATTATTTCATGACTTAAGTGATAATTGGGACAAAAATTGCTTAGAAGAGGGAAACTAAAAATAAAAAACACAGAACTGATAGCTATAATCACTTTAAGCAATGTAACACAAGGTACTGGCATCATAGGACACGAATCTCAGTTTTATGGGCAATTTGCAGAGCAGGCCAGATTCTCCCAGGATTTCTCTGGCTTTGGTGTCAGTTTGCTGTGTCTGCCAGCTGAATATCAACTTCTCTCATCTGAGAGAAGTTGATGGTGCCCATTAAATCTGCCCCACCAGGGCCTGCCCTCAGTACATGCAGTGTTTGGAGTGGGATGGGTGGGATGCTCACAGATTTCCCATAAGGCCATGGAATCACTCTCTCATTTTCACTCTTTAACACCTCACCTGAATTTTAGCTGTGAAAAGTTTCTAATCCCAGTCACCCAGCAAAGGCCTTCTCTACTTGCAACTTCTCTAAGTGGCTGTTTAGAATAGGACACCTTGGAATGCCACATTATGTAAAAACTGGACATTTGCTCCAGGTTGGGGAACGACTGGCAGCTCCAGGAGGCAGGTCATCCTATTCAGTGTGTGGTAAAGATGAATATGACAAATTTCTCACCAGTGCCACTCATTGTCCTGGTGATAGAATGAATCTACTTACCCCAGAGAAGAAAAAAAAAACCTCAGTCATTTCTTTTCCCTGGTTGCTCATCAAATGAAAAGCCAAGAGGCTTTTTAAATGAGTGCCTGAGTCCTGGAAGGTTCTGGGCTGGACAATCCTAATTTCTACAGGTTACACACTATACATTTGTGACCTCAGGAGAACTTCTTTAAAATGAGATGAGGAAACAATTATCAGCAGAGTTAGGATGTTTGCTCTTGGGTTGATGAGGCCTTAGAGGGACTGTCTAGGCTCTCTCCAAAGTGACAGTTGTCCCACCCCAAGACTGATAGAAAAGTGAAATAAATCACCTTCAAGAAGTGCCCCTATAGACTGTAATGGGTGCTGGATGCCAGGACACCTGACTTCTGGATGAACAATAAGCCAAATCCTGCTCTGGCTTAGCTGGGCTTGCTGAAGTAGATCAGCTCAGCTTTGCTGGGTGCTGGGGTCACCCATACAGTGAGAGCTGCTATGAGATTCCAGAATTCTGCATGTTCTCTGCCCTGACTTCACACCTAGCCTAGATTTCATCCCAAGAGTTGCTGAAGTCAGATCATATCCTCTGTGTGCTCCTTAGCATGGAATGCTGGCCTGGGAGGCAGAAAAGACTTGAGCTGTTCACAGAATACAACAGACCTGGAACCAGAATTAGTAACAGCTCTAGAAAAGGAGCAGTTACCAGGACTGTTGAGTGGGTCATCACAGCCCAGGGTCTCCAGTTGTCCCTCTATTTCCTACCCTGCTTCAAGAGAGGTTCCATGGTCCAGGATCTGACTTTCCACTGACAAAGCAGGGCTCAGCCTTGCACCTGATTTGCATCTGGCAAGAGAAGCCATCACCACTGCCAGGGCATCGTGACAGACTGCTTATTTGGATCTTTAGATTACCTGATTTTTCCTCCTTAGATTAGAACTTCAAGCTATGCATTGCAGATTGAGTGAATGCCCTTTAATAATGAATGTTTACACCTGAAGTTGCTTTGCAATCCCAGCAATGAAGTATCTGAGTTGTACCTCTACCCTTCAGCTGAGCTGAAGACCCCCAGGCTGCTGAGGCAAGGGGTGCTGAGACCCTTTTAAGGTTTTTTAGCAGTCATAACTGCTAGATTGCATGTCAGCAATCATTCAAAGCCGTTGGGCATGAAAGATGCAAAGGGTGCTAACCAACCCTGACTGCCTTGGCTGGCTCACCCTGGAGCTGGCCCAGGAGCAGTGATCCTCCTTGATAGGATCATCAGTTAGGACATTCTGGCTCTTCCTCAACTACCTCTAATCAGAACAAACAATTATCATGGGTGGTGAGGAGCTCACATTTATCTCTCCATCCAAACAGAAATGGTTTTGCACCCATTTGAACCATTAACAAATGGCTGCCCAAAATCAGGACAGCATGAGCCCTGCCTGCTTTTCACATGGTGGCTGATGTAGAACAGGACAGACCTCCCTTCTTACCAAGAAATTGCTGTTCCCAAGCATGTTGCCATGTTGTACCCTCCTGTGGTCTTCTGTGGGTATCTCATTGTCCCAACTTGCTCCATCTTTGCTCCCCACCACCCCAGAGCCTTCTGCCTTTCTTGCCTGGAGCAGCTATGAACAGAGTTATACAACTCCCAAAGGAGCCTGAAGGAGCTCCTAAAGGGACACTTTTCAGGGGCCTGCCCAACAGTTTTGAAGATAACAGCCACTTTGGGAAGCAGGCCAAACATCTGATTCAAATGTCACCATTACAAGGTTTTCACTGTTGGTTTCTTCTAAAAATTAGCTAGTTCTGACCTGCAAAGCATTGAGATTCAATTAACCCTCTACAGATACTGGATCACCTGAGGAAGCTGAATTCAAAGATATTAAGAACTCTGTGGTTGTATTTAGTGTAAGGTGTTTTGATATGGAATAAGTTTCTGGTCCTCACTTACTGCAGCATGTTTATGAGAGAGGTTGAGAGTGCTTCGAAAGAGCCAGAAAGACAACATTGCTACCCAGTCTCCAAGGCTGCCAAGCCCAGATGCAACAGCCCCTTACTCAAGAAACCTCTAGTCCAAATAGACCTAGACAGGAGTGATTAACCCTTGGCATGGCTCCTAAACCATGGGAAAAATATTTTCCTAGTTTAGACAGGCACCAGTGCATTGTCTACACCTGGCCCTGCAGCACCTGTGTTACCTGCACCAGGGTCTCTGCCCTCCCAGGCCACCAGAGAGGCAAGCACAGAACATCACAGTGCTCCTGAGCTGCTGCCTGGCCCACCAGGCCTCTGACTACCCCTGTTGGGGTGGCATGCTGTGAAATCCTTCCCCACACTGCTAGAGGATGTCCCTTGGTTCATGTGAGCCCAGGAGCCAGCAGCCAGGGCCACCCTGAGCTGCTGCAGGAGCACTCAGTGCTGCTCTCATGCTGTAACCAAGCAATAGTTGTTGTCTGCAGTAGCTGCCATGTACACAGCAAAAGCAGCACCAAAAAGAGAGGGGAGGCACCAGCTTCTCCCTTCTGCCCCCCCCACACACAACCATGTTGTTTCAAGGTTTTTCCCAGGCCCAGTGCACCTCCTTTGGCATGGATGTGTAGTGGGACCAGGCCCCTGCGAGCCCCAGCCTCCAGCATCACCCCACAGCCCCCAAATCCTTCCACGCCCACTGCAGCCGAGTGCCCACACTGGACTGCCAAGGGGCAGTGGGGGCACAGCAGTGGATCTGACCCCCCCACCCCACAGGTGCACCCTCTGGAGAGGGCCCTGGACACGGCCTGGTGTGTGACAGACAGACAGACAGACAGACAGACAGACACGGGTGGTACACCAGCTCTCCCCAAACCCCTCCGGGGAGCACGATGACCTGGATGGTGCCAAGCCCAGCGCCTCACCCCCAGCCTGCTCCCACGTGCCCCAGCCTGTGGCAGGGATGGGCTGATGATCCCCAGGGATACTCACTCCTCGTGCCCTTTGCAGAGGAAGAAGAGGGTCCTCCAGGCCTGCACTGTGGCCAGCAGCAGGGACAGGAGCCCGGTGAAGATGCTGAAGCGGCAGGCGGCCTCGGGCCCCCACTCCTGCACCGTGAAGCGCTGCCGCTCCACCGTCAGGTTGGCGTTGAGCCACATGCCCTCGGTGAAGAGCAGGCAGCGGCCGTGGAAGTCGTTGCCATTCTCGGAGAGTGGCACCACCACGATGAAGCTGAAGAGAAAGGCCAGGAAATAGCAGATGCACTGAGCGAAGAGGAAATTGCTGAGCGCCATGTCCGCGGCTCTGCGCAGGCAGAGGGAGGGAGGGGTGGAGAGAGGGATGCAGGAGGAGGGATGGAGGAGGGAGGGATGGAGGAGGGAGGGATGCAGGAGGAGGGAGGGATGCAGAGAGAGAGCGATACAGGAAGGAGTGATGTAGGAGGGAGGGATGCAGGAGGGAGGAGTGGAGAGAGGGATGCAGGAGGAGGGATGGAGGAGGAGGGATGGAGGAGGGAGGGATGCAGGAGAGAGCGCTACAGGAGGGAGCGATGTAGGCGGGAGGGATGCGGGAGGAGGGATACACGAGGGAGCAATGTGAGGTGGGAAGCGGAGAGGATGGAGGGATGGAGGGAGGAAGGCAGGCTGCAGCAGCAGGCGGTGGGGAGGGAGGGAGGGAGGATGCGCAGTGCAATGCAATGGATTGCAGTGCGGTCCGATGCCTCCTCCGGACACGGCTGCTCCCTCACCCGCAGCTCGAGCTGCCCCTGTGAATGTCTTCAGGGCTTGTAGGGGAAGAGGGGAGAGGGAGAGGAAGAGCTGTTGTGTTTTCTCTTCGGGAAAATCTGGCTGTCGCTACCCTCTGGCGCCCAGGGGGTTAAATCGGCCCGTGTGTCTCCAGCAGGGCCGGGGACCGCCGGTGGGGGATCCCCCAAATGACACAGGACACTGATGATTGCCCTGTTGATGCCATCACACACACACACACACACACACACACACACACACAAATACCCCAAACCAGCTGACTGGCCTCATCCTAGCTGCTGGATCCCAGGAAATTTTGAGCCAAGACTCTAAAACTCTGGCCAGCAGCCTCAGATGGTGGCAATAATAGACAGGGTGCACAGCCCACAGCCACCCCAGCCCCTACAGACCCAGTGGTTTTGTTCCTAGCCCAGGCTGTCGCCCCCCTACCAAGGCATTGCAAGGGGAGCAAAGGCTCACCAGAACTGGAATAACTTTTCCTGAGCCTTGGTGTCATTTAGGGGCTGCCTGGGGTTGGGATCAGCTCTGTTATTCCCTGGCTGGAACAGGGCTGGAAGAAAATAACCTTAAGCAAGTTCCTGCTGGGCATCAAGCTGAGAACAGACCAGCACAGCAATGGGGCATTGCTGTCCAACACATGGCAGGAACAGATGGGATTTTATTCCAGGGGCTGAGCAGCTCCCTGCCCCACACCATGCTTGGGAAGACACCAGAGCACCCCCTCTGCTGCAGGGCCCAAAACTGCAAGGCCAGGATGCCAGAAAGCAAAAGGCATCAGAGAGGGGAATGTGAGTTGGGCTCAGATCACTCTGGCACAAAAATCCAAATTTAACTGACCTCAAGTTATAGTTTCCCCACAATCCCAATTTCATTTTTCCATCTTGGCATGAATCCTCTCTCCAGCACAAGACAACACAATTAATGTCCAGTTCCAGGTAATTTCCTAATTTAATTTCCCAACCACATCCAGTCTGAGATCAGCTGCAGGTCTCAAATCACTTCTTAATCCCAGGGCTGTTTCCACTCATTTTATCACTGTGCCACTTCCCAGGCAGTGTTTAGAGAAGCAGATGAGGGACAGAGATCCCAAACATAGTGCACATGGGAATTCAGGCTGGTGTTTCCATTGGGCAACCAAACAATTATTTCTGTGTGCTGGTAAGAGGTTACAGATACAGTCCAGATACAGAGCAGGGCACTGGGGGAATTCTCAGAGAAGACATTAATTCACAGTTTCATTACAAATCATCTGTAATGCATATTATCTTGAAATCTCCCTCTATCTGTGCAGGGGAAGCATTTCTTTGTGAATGCCACATCTCTTCAATAAAACCTTTTTTCAGTACAAATGAAATGTGTCAGGCCAGTTTTCTGATCCTTACCCAGCTCTGATCATCAAAAAATTGTATTTCAGTTTTGTAAGATGAGTTATAGAGCACTGACCTGGCCCTGTGGGGATAGATGTGCACTCCTAACAGAAAAGATATTTCAGTCTATTGGTAAGGAGGAAAGTATATTGCTTTTAACCTTGCTTCCAAGAAGTGCTTGTTTCCCAAAGGGTTTTATCCTTTACCTGTAAAGAAATCAGACCTGGATTGAGGTGGGAAACTCTTTTCTTTGAAATGTGACACATCAGATTTGCCAGATAATGTTTTCTGAACTTACCTTGGGAGGTCAGCACCAACATAAAAGCCCAGTTACTGCTTACACTGGAGCCCAGAGAAGGGGCCAGCAGATGCCAAGGGCTCTTTGCCTGGGGCAAGCCCAGTGCTCAGATCTTGCCAGCAGCAGCCACAGGGCTCTGCTGCACGAGGGTGTTTGCACAGGGGAATGTGGGGACACTTCTAGAGCAGATAAAGTTGTCTTGGCTGATGAACTAACTCAAGTGAGCATTTATTGGGGAGTTTCAGAAAACACAGCCAGGCATTTACAAATGTGAGCAGACACGTACAACAGCTGCACTTTGCAGCCTGACAGCTACTGGAGCTTGGTTTTAAGCAGTGAGCACACACTGGAGTGAGCAAAGGGATGGAGATAAAACCTGCCAGCCTTCACTTTGGAGCTGCCTGGATTTCTCATACTCTTCTCTCATGTAAATCCTAAAAAAAATCCTGCTAGGCTTGGTTTCAGAAACATGGAGTTATTTCAGTGGAGTAAATTTGATAGGCTTACTTTTCTCAGCGTGGTGAAAGTGAGGGAGAAAGGCAAGGTGAATGATGATTCATTCATTCATTCATTCTTTTAGCACAGGGAATGGAGAACATGAGATATACTTGTCACAGACATGTTTTATGAAAAATCCTTTCCTTAGGATTTTTTCTCCTGAGAAGCTAAGAAGCCTCAGGAACAAAATGTAAACAACAATTATCTGATGCTGTGGAATGCAACAAGAAAATCTTTGATTAGTCTCATGTGGTTGCTTTTAATTATTAGCCAATCACAGTCCAGCTGTCTCAGACTCGCTGGACAGTCACAAGATTTTATGATCATTCCATTCTTTTTCTTTCCTTTCAAGCCTTCTGATGAAATCCTTTCTTCTATTATTTTAGTATAGTTTTAATATATTTTAATATAATATATATAATAAAATAATAAATCAACCTTCTGAAACATAGAGTCAAATTCTCATCTCTTCCCTAGTCCTGAGACCCCTACAAACACCACCACATATACAGGCCAGGCAGAAACTCTGAAACACAGGAAAAGATGCACATTTTTCTCCCTTCATATAATTGTTCTGTGGTACACATCACAGGACACTGCAGAGGGCAAAAAATAAATGCTGGTGCCAAAAGATATTAGATAAATTAATGGTAAAGAGTTCCACAAGGACCTGAGAAATGCAGAGCTGGGGAAGTAACCTTCAGCTCAGGATTCCCTCACAGCAGTTTGCTGGGAATGTGGAGTCACAAAATGATCCCTCTACATCTCCAGAATCCTCTCTTCTTCCCTAAAGCAAGCACCTGCTCCTGGCAGCCTTGGAGATGGGATCCCCAGGGAGATCACCCCTTGGTCTGACCCCTTTGGCCATTTCAGGCTCTCCTGACAGCACTGGCAGCACCAGCCTGGTGTCTCAGCTTTCCCATCCAAGTGGGGAGAGCTGCAGCTCCAAAGCATCCCCCACACCCTGGCTCCAGTGAATGTCCTCAGGAGGGACCTGCCCCCAGAGCAGACACCTGCAGGAAGCAGTGGGGCAGTTCTTGCAGCTGCACAGCACTGAGACAAGAGATGGGCATCATGAGAGGAGGCTGCACATCACCCCAGCTCTGGTGGTGCCACCACAGGAAGAACAGTTGAGATGTGCTCCTGCTGCAGCCCACCATGAACACCCCCTTGACCACAGCATCCCCTCTCACCACAGCACAGAGAGGTCTCACCTGCTCTGTGCACCCCCCAGACCTGCTGAACAGGAGCTGAACCCCAAGAGGACCATGTTCTGACAGGGGGCTGAAGATGGCTTGCTCAGCCTCAGGGAGGGTGAAGTTCAACGTTTGTAAATCTTATTTCTCTGGGAAAATAAGAAAAGCCACAAAAATAAAACACAATGCACAACCAACTGCTGTGGCACCTCAGTGATAAGCAGGAAGCCAACCAGGATAAATCAAGATTAGATATACCACATTTGCCTGCATTCCCTTCTGCCCCATATCTCCTTCTAGCTGCCTGGCTAATCCTCTGTAGATCAAGTAACATGATGTGGAATGACTGATGGGGATGGTGGTTTTGGCTGTGCTGCTCCATGCTCCCTCTCAAGTCATTAATTATGCCATCTGACATGAGCAGTGCTCTCAAGTTGATATTTGTGAGGTAAGTGATGAATTTCCTCTCCTCCTGGTAGCTCATTAGGACATGTTTTATGATGAGAAAATTTGCTGAGGAATTAATTATTGAGACAAAACATTTTTGAGAGCAGTTTTATTTGTTTTTATATTTACTCTACCTTGGATATATCATTTCTGTGGGCCAAGAAAAATAGCAGGAGCATGTCTAGAAGGTGGCTACCACCTTGCTACCAGTAATGCACTGCTTATTTCTGGAGAGAAACACAGAGCCACAGCAGTTCCTCTGCAGAAGGATGCCCAGGGAGCAATATGTCTGTATTCTGGGCAGTCCAAATGGCTGCTTTTGAGCCAGTCCTTCAATCACTCAAAGGCAACTTCTGCCTGATTTACTTTAGCTCAAATATCTGCCTCAGCCCATTTTACCAAATGGTTTAGCAAATGCAGTTTGCCCCAGGCTTTGGAGCCTGTTTTATTTGGACTCTATTCTGTTTTATTCAGGCTCACTGGTCTGTTTTATTATTGTATTAATCCATTGCTGCTGATGTTTATTATTATTATTATTATTATTATTATTATTATTATTATTATTATTATTATTATTATTCCAAAAGTCTTGACCTATGGTATTTGCCCTCTGAAACTAATGGAAAGGACCCAGGCCTGTCACTTATCATCTTATGATTGTTGATGCAAACAACACTTTTAGGGAGAGGTTCTCATGGTAATCACTGTATTTAAGAAAATCTC